TTTTTCACTCATGTTTGGTTGAAAAGATCAGACTTTTTTATGCAATTGTTTCTGAGATATTGCCATTTTGGTGAAAGCTTGGAAGTCAATCATGAATTCGCCATATTGCTTGCCAGTTTAGGGGGTGGAAACATTGTAAGAGCTTGCCACAGTTAATGAGTTAATATCTGCCTGCATGCTTTCTTGGCAAGTTATGTCAGCCCCGTATCCAAAACATGTTGTATAAATATGGCGATAGATATTTTATGGTGTAAATACTTTTATTGGTGGCATTAGACCAGTAGACTTTGATCCCCCTATCTTTGACCAAAACGCCCCTCCAATTTCCCTCAAATAGCTGTCGATGAGGGGCCCAGTGATCTCCAGGTTAGCATTGCTCTTCAAGTACAGCATAAAAATTGGCTTCTGTTCAGCCTTCCATGTCGCATCAAGTCAGGTCGGCTCAAGATTAAACTTCACAGCCACAAAATCTTGGTTCCAAAAATGCTTTGGTCTCTCTGTTTCATTGTTATCCTCACCTAAGTTTAGGTTACATGACTTTCAAGAGACATTGCTGGCCGGAATTAGGAAATTTGAATATTAATGGCTGTGAGCCTATGCTTCTGGGAGATTTGTGCATGGCAACCGATCACCATTGTCTTCTGAATCGGTACTCATTTGTTGCTGGTCAGTATTTCCACCACAAATGTATACAATGGATTGTGTATTTTAACCAGAACTGTTCATAGTTTCAGCAGAAAACAGAGAAATATGTTCTAAGTCTTCATCACTGCTGCTATCAATATCATGAAATTCAAAATCTTCATTGCTTTGTTTGGTACAGTCCAACTCGAGAAAGTTTATTTGTAGCAATATAATTTTTTAGCAGTATCACTATGTGCTTGTGAGTTAGAATCTTGAACCACTTCACCTTTAAAGTTCCCTAGTTGTACCTTCATTTCTGAAGCTATTCCATGAAATTTAGCCTCCTGCATAATGTCATCTGCATTAGCATCAACATTCATACTAATGTCTCTAGTCCCTCCAGACTGGAAAGTTCGTACTGCACAACAGAGATATCAGTTGCACAATTTTTTTCAAAATGCACATCCAGACACGCAATTTTCAAAAATCTGTTGTCAGATGCGCAATTTCAAAATGAGGCGTAGGTGAAATTGAAAATGCGCAATTTTGTGCGTGCATAAATTAAAATTGCGCTATTTTTCAAGCGAGCATTGCATGGCTTTTCAAGGTGAACATCGACCATTGAGTGCCTGTGCTGTTGTTCCATGGCGATCATTCATCAAGAGAAAGAGTACTTGGGTCAGTCTAAATGCCAGTTTGGTACACAATTAAAAGAACATCAAAAGGCTGTATCAACTTTAAACACAGGAAAATCAGCTTTAGCAGAACATGTGTGTAACACCAAACACAAGATTGCATGGGAAAACTCATTGTCGAAGGGACATGATACATAACATTTGATGAAAACGAGATTTCTTTTTAAAAAACCTCACACAAAGCCCCACCTTAATGTGTATTTGCCCAATGGTGAGAAAGGAAGCATCGACCTTCTTTCTCATTCATGAAAACAAACTGAGCCAACACTTCCCCTATCATATCGAGTGAAAAGCGCTACTAACTTGTACTCAAGTTCATGAAGCCAATGCTCCACATGTATAGGTTCAAACTACTCCATCACTTTAACCGCAGCAACATCCTCATAACCATTCAGCTGATCTGTTATACTCTCAAAACAGTCTCCACAAAAATTTCAACTTTTCACTCCTAGAGAGTCGAATTTTAACTTTTCTCTCGGAAACGGTCCGTGAGAAAATCGAAAATTTCAACTTTTCTCTCCTAACTGGTCTGTACTTTAATGCAAAATCCTCCGACACATTAGACGTACCAAGTCTTGAGTGAGTAAAGAGGATGTTTGCTGGTTTTTGAGTTCAAAAGGGGTACATTCATGCAAGTTGTGTCCATAACAGTGTTCTTATGTCGATGTTCACACATGTCAAACGAACCAAAGTACTCCAGAGATAACAAGTAAGGAGGATGTTCATGTTATTTGTAAAAAGTCAGACTAGAGACTGTTTCTCTTCCACGCTGGTATTGTGATGTTATCTCTAGGCCGCAATCCTAGTCAAAGCAACTGGAGTGTCTTCTGGCAGTTTTAACCACTGACAAACCGTTGGCTTTAATGGTGGTATCAAACCAACGCAACCATCCATCACCTACTTGTGCTAACACCAGTTTGTAGCTCTGAAAAGAGCTACCTTTTAAAAAAAATATTGGGCGTATATGTTTAGGTTAGTAACCTTAGGCACCATGGGGAGGCCAGGTCAGTTGGTGGAAATAAGGAAAAAGACCTGACTCGATCTATCACGTGCTAGACTCTATAGAATTGTATTTTGGCCCAGGCTGACCATCTAGCATAAATGCTGGTCTTTCAGCTCTGTCTTAAAAAAGTCTCCACTGTGATGTTATTTTTACAGGTCAAAGACATTTTTGAGACCTTTCAGAATCTAATCTGGAAAAGTCTAAAGAGGTCTAGAAAGGTCTTGAAACGTCTTGAAACGTCTTGAAGCTCTAGAATGATCTTAGAATCTATTAATAACCTATTTCTTGTCGAAGCACACGTTAGTGCATGCTCTTTACAGCATATACACTTTTAATAAGTGCGACAATGTCAATTTATTAAAAAATTATTTATAAATATTCACACAGTTTTAGTCTACTGTATATAGCACAACTATAAAGACAATGTCGTTACATTTATTATCAGCCTGTAATCCATAGCTACAGTTAGTATAATATTATATGAGCCGATTAACATTGATTACAAACTGCTGTCGGTTGTTTCAATCTTACTTTGTTGGGAATGCCATCAACTTCTTTTTTAATTTTGTTTGTGCACACATACACTTGTTGGTGAACATTTTGTTCAACTTCACGCTTTCCAAGGGGGCCACCTTGCTGAAGCCAGCAAGTATCCTGTAAATAAAAGAACAGTATTGAGTAGGCTGACTTTCTAGCATAAATGCTGGACTTTCTAGCTCTGGTCAGGCTTGACTTCAGAAGAATTCATGTGTGTTTAAGTCTTTAGAGGCTATACAGTAGCGTAGCCAAGGGGGGCGACCCCCAATCGAAAAAAAATTCTCTGAAAAAGGCTAAATCCGTAGAGAAATTGGGGGGGGGGGTACACGTTACATTCTCGAAGCCGAAACTGATTAAGTACATCTCGACTGAGGAAAACGATGATATACTGGAGGAACTTGATTTGTAAAATCTCATTAAAGCTGTTGTAGATATGGTTCCAAGAAGAATAGATTTACATGCATGCATTATCATAGCATGAATATTCGTCTCAGACTTATTCTGTATGCTGTATCGTAATTTTGAGAATGCGGAAATGCTGTCTCGTAGAACCTAGAATGATTTAAATGCAACATTTCTGATCAAAATCACATTGGGATTTTCTTCCCCCAGCATCACAGAGGGGAAATAAGGTGACGCTGACCGGCTCCTCCTGTTCAGTCAAGGTGACTTTTCCAATTTATTTAATTCCGAGTAGAAAATTAGAAATGTCTGGGAAAATTATGTCTTCAATGTACTTTATAATCTTCGGAATTCTGCAAGATTTCACCCCCAAAATGCTTGAAATCGCATTTCAGGGACTCTAGATGTCAGGTCTGGCTACGCCACTGAGGCTATATTGCACTTTAGCCAAGTTCTGCTTAGGTTTTTAGGCTAATTCCACCGTCATAAGAGAGTCATAGTTCCTCTTGCCATTGACATTCAGAGTACTGGGCAGAAATCTCAACAAAATGCCGTAAACTTTCGTAAATCTATCAACATTTAAAGCTGTACTTTGAGAAAAAAGTTACAGAAAGGTTAGTAAAATTATCCTTGTCTATGTTTATGTTGTTTTAGGGCTAGTTTCCTTCTGCTATTTAGAATACTACAAATATATGTGCGTAGTTCAAATTTGTGTGTAGTTCAAATAGTTCAAACACCTTGCCAACCTTAGGTATACTTTATATATAGCTATATGTCAGCTCACAGATAGTGCAATCGGGTGGCAATTTAATATAAGGTTCATTTTGCAATCTATTTTTCACTAATTTGTGATTATTTTCATGAATTTTATAATTTCATTGCAGTTTTAATTTAAATTCAGCCCTTTAGTGGGCTGCCCTATGTCCTATTTTGCAGGAATTCTCTGTACAGTTAATTTTGAAATGTAATACATTTAATCTCAGGCTTTCGGGACTGGTATTTTGTTGGTTTGACCCTTGTTAATGGCATATGCTTATTATACAAGGTATTAATGTAATCAGAAAAAAAAGAATATAGGCAGAGATTTGGTCAGATGTGGAGAACACTGAGCTCCATTAGGATACCTTAAAGTGTCCAAAAATCCATTCACATTTTCCCTTGTGTTTTTCCTTTTATAAATAAGGGGTTGGGATTTTGGCTTGGGCATGTTAACATCCATGGGTAAGTGATCTGAGATGTCAGTAAGGATACTAGATGAAAAAAAACTGGATATAGTTGTTGCAAAATATGTTATCTATCAAGGTTGCAGAATAGGTAGTGATTCTACTGTTGTTGGCCTAAATATAGAAGGACATAGGGAGTGAAATATAAAACAACTGTAACTCAGAAAATAAACATTTTAATTATTCTAGCTTTCAACTAAGATTCAGTCAGCATTAGGAATTGATAACCTTAGGAAAGTGAAATTATTTTGTGTCATTTAAAACAGGATAGTTCATTAATATGTTTTTTCTTGTGCCTGTTAATCCATTTCTTAAATTTACCTTCATCAGATGAATGGATGGGATGATATGAAATAATTGTCTGCTTGTTGTGAATAATTGTCGGTTGTTGACGGTAAGTAGTCGGTAATTAGTATGACCCTTCTTAAATGGCCTTACAGCCCTTAAAGTCCTTACTGATCAATAGTTCATCATGATAACTTGTGTGTGTGCTGTTGACTTCTGATGCATACCCACTTGGTCTTCAAATGTTTCCACAATTTTTGTCATACCTCCTGATCCTTTGCTTGCTCTGCCACTCACTTTATCCATCTTGTTTGCTCCCATCACCTTTATCAACTTCTTCATCTCACAGTTCCGATTTTCTTGGAATAGGTCGATTTCAACATTTTCCCAGCACCACCTTTCCAGTTCACTGTAGCAGCCCATTCTCACAGCTGTGGGCTTCACCTTCTGATAGCAAAACTTGGCATTGCAAAATGTTGATAAACATTTCAATTGCAAATTCAGTGAAGCCAGGTGTGGCAAAGAAATGAACAACTGTTTCCTTAGGATTGACAGATACTCACCATTGCCTGTGGCAACAGCATCCTTGATATCTGCAAGCAAGAAGAATGGTCTTAGGATGTTTTTTAATTGAAGCACTTATTTAATCACAATAGAAAAATACAGCTAAAGCTGATAACATGAATAACAAAAATTACAATATCTAATTACACTAATCTTTATAAGTCATACACCTTATTCCAAAATGGCACCCGTGAACATGAAAGCGAGACCAGGGGGGGGGGCGATTTTGCGAAAGGGAGAACTTTTTGAAAATTGTAGCCAAATTTTTTGCCGAAAAAGATATTTCTTTCGTATGTGGACAATTCAAGACCACAAAGATGAAATTTTTGTTCCTTACAACATCCTGCTGTGCTATAATCACAAAATTTATACCACAAGGAATGATGACAACAACATGGCCATACCAACTGTATCAATTTACGAAAAACTAGACTATAATAAATCATGTATTTTGAGCTCTATGTTCTTTTCCATTTCCTCATTGCACAAAGAAAGGATACGTAGAAGGGGGGAGATTTCTCGCCTCAAGTTTCCAGAGGAAAAACATCTGTTCGATGAGTGGTTCTGTGCAATTCATCGAGTGGCATTTCAAGGTTACAGACAACACTCGTGTTTCCTCAAGGCATTTTAAAGATGGGGATTTTGAAGTTTCACCAACTGTCAGACGTACGCTTCGAGGCGGGACAGTGCTGTTGAGATTCGAATGGAAAACAGCTTCTCCCAAGAAGAGAAAATCCCCAGCAAAATCAAGATCTAACCTCCAATTAGTACCAGACTCCGACAATTCCTTTAACAGTTTCTAGAAATTGAGCAACATTTGACTGTTGTTGTTTCCTTGCGTCATATGGCTTGCATTTCACACCATCCGTTTTCTTTTCCTCTAATGGGTTTTTAACACCACAACTTCCATTACTGGTTGTGGTGCGATTCCTTTGACTCTCGGTTAGTGCCATTGCTATAGGGATGAGGTGCATACTGAAGAAGGATTTTCATTGTCATCGTCTTTCAGGTCAGTTACCCTTTGACAGTTAAACAGACTAAATTTGCAAGCCTTCAGCATTGGTGCCGACATATGGTTGCAAAACCCAGACATTTT